CTGCCTGAGGAGCGGCCAACGCTCCGTATGATAGATAGTTTGGAGTTATTCTATATATACTGTTTTACTTTCGGAACTTTGATAGCGCGATTTAGGATTCGATGTGTATCGCTTGTGGCGCGACAACAACGCCGCCACAGAGGTATTCCATTTCCGTTCTCAGAGATGACAACACATCTGTAGCTTTCTTTGTTTGAAGTTGGCTGCAGGTGTTTATGAGCTGTAATATCACTTACCATCAGGCGGACTAAGTAAGCCTAACTTATATTCACCTCGTTTTATTTTTAAAAAAAAACTCCAAAAATAAGAACTTTTTGTATTTTTATCACTTCTGAAAACAAAATCTTAATTTTAAACCGATTGGACCTTTTTATAGAATGATAGATGGGAGACTTTGATTCCTGACTTGCAGAATTATTATATCTACTACTATATAATATCTATTTATTTATATATGTAATTGATTTCTCGTAAACGGTTTTAATGTTCTTGATGAAATTTTGTATTTAGATAATGTCTTACTTTCTACGTGGTAGACCCACGCTGCAGCTATGTTATGATTGTAGCACGAATGGGTCGGGTCGAACGGGGCAGGACCACGCGCTCACAGAATACCATCGTAAAATAGCAACTTAATGCTGCTATGTTTCGTATGGTGAGTGTAGATAACCGGAGACCATTTTACTGGAAACGAGGCATTCCACCTTAGTCCTCAGGGGTGACCGCACATCTGCATTTTGATTTTTAATCGAGGATAAATATAGACGTCTATGGGCCACAGCATCTACTTGCCATCAGGTGGACTGTGTGCTCGCTTGTTACCCTTATTCTATAAAAAAATCTAGGTGTCATCACGATTTTTTTATCGCCGAGCAAAGCTCATTCGCTCAGATACAATTTTAAGAATAAAAAATCCCTTTATGCTTCCCGTTTATTTTCACATAAAACTTATGACACATTTAATGTTTACGAATTAATGGAGTCTTGATCAAGCTTAAATTATTACAATAGGATATTATATTTTATATTTACAATCAAATTATTTACAATTACACGTTATTCTTAGATTTACAAACTTGTTACAAATATCTCGTAATTTGTAATTTCTATCAAAAATTTACATTTCACGTATAGCAACACTAAATAATGGTATAATTGCCAGGTAGAGCTACAATAAAGCTTTAAAGAGTTGAAAAGCCTGTATTTTCATTGTTGTAAAGAAAACATCAATGATCATTATGACATTATTCGACAAGGTACATAACTGGTAATTTCGATACAAGGTTCTTTTTGAAATCTATGATTAACAATTTTGCTTATGTCAAGTGAATGAAAATAATCCTTTATAGTTGTGAATCTAAAATGCGGATACGAAATTTGAAATCTAAACGTAATTTTAAATTTGAACTGATACTTCATAAGCGACATTTTCACTATGTGCACTGTGCACAGAGTGACAATGTTGCCTACATAAACATCAAAGAATCTGCACTCCAAAGTTGCAGTATTTTACAACAAATAAATTTTATTTTTAAATTTTATTTTGACAATAATATTATGTTGATGTGTTTAAATTGAGAAATTTTTGGGAGATTTTGACGACGAGTGTTTCATCATATCCACTAATATTTTACATGCGCAGACATTCATACCCATTCAGAAGTTTTCTACCTCGCACAAGTCGCTTGTGAAATTGACTACCACCAGCGACTTTTTTGGATGGATACTATTTAGTGACCTTTAAGAAAAGAGCCTACTATTTTTGAGTTTGGCAACAAATCTGTAATTCCCCTGGTGTTGTTGTTCATAGGTGTAGTCACTTACAATTGGGTGAGCCGCATTCTCGTTTGCCCCGTCTCATATAAAAAAATAATCGCACCGCTTTTAAATATCACAAGCCACTATAAACCATTATTTAAAGGATAACACAGAACCGGCAATCTGCTAGCGGTTAAATCCACCTAAACACCTTTTACAAGGTTATCAAACAATAGTAAGACATATATTTTACGGAGTCATGTAGCACTTTCAGCCAGATGCTGGTAATTTTACAAAAATGTTCGTCTCTATCAGGTAGTCCATTTGCAGACTAACAATAAGATAATCGTCGCGATGAAAAAGTTTTTTTTTTAAATTAATTTTAAAATAATTATTGAATAATTGTGCTACAAAATAGTTATAGCATACATAAACTTGATTTTGTTAGTTTCAAATTCTTTACTTAATCTTTTTTAAAGGCTTTATAAAGAGAACAAAAAAAGCTACTAAGAAAATTCTTTACACCCACGTAGGTTTGCTTCCAGAAAAGACTTAAACGACTACGTCCTCAATATTATACCGACGTAAAGTGACAAAAACATTTTTTCTCGCGTAATAGGAATTGACGACGTCCTTTCTGGTAGCTATATATGGAACTGAGCTATATACCTACAGTGGATATACTTACTGTAGTTTACATTTATTAGGTGTAAACTCGGCTTCCATTCTTTATCGAATCGAAAATGTTTCTCTTGTTTATAGCGTAAAAGATAATATATTATTTTATGTCGATGGTCTTTTATTTTTATTCATATATAAATAATAATCTAGTTTTTAGAGATTGAGGTATACCTGACGAGAAGATATGTCGTAATTTCCCGAACGCTGCCCAGCCGAGTTGAATCCGTCGATTAACCTCTCGGTCGAAGTTGGACTTGCCTAGTCGGACTATTTGTCCCAGGTAAACGTACTCGTCAACAATACATATACCTCAATCTCTAAAAACTAGATTGTACAACCAGTGCGTGTTGCCAGTGATGACTCACGGATCTGAGACGTGGTCCTTCACTTCTGGCCGTATGAGGACGCTCAAGGTCGCTCAGCGAGCTATGGAGAGGGCTATGCTCGGAGTTTCTCTGCGTGATAGACTTAGAAATGAGGATATCCGCAGTAAAACCAGAGTGACCGACATAGCCCAACGGATTAGTAAGCTGAAGTGGCAATGGGCCGGCCATATAGCTCGAAGAACCGATAACCGATGGGGAAGAAAGGTTCTCGAGTGGCAGCCTCGTACCGGTAGGCGTAGTGTAGGGCGACCCCCCATTAGATGGAGTGACGACCTCGTAAGATATGCAGGAAGTCGATGGATGCAGGTGGCTCAGGACCGTGCTTTGTGGCATTACTTGGGGGAGGCCTATGTTCAGCAGTGGACTTGTGAAGGGCTGTAATGATGATGATGATGATAAATAATAATATCCTCCAGGCCGAATTTCAGTCACGGCGGCCAGTCTCAACGGAGATTAGCCATTTTTGTAGGAAATGATATAGGAAATGCACGAGAGTTGTCGCAAACACAAATGTACGTACTCTTTATTCTCTCACTCTTATATAGGTCGATGGGACCATCTCCAGCTCCCTGTCTTCGATTAAGAATCAAAATTTAAATAAAATGACACAGTATTGACGGTAAGTGACCACTTTGCGAGTAGTTTCAGCCTAAGACCTAAATATATACATTTTCGAAAAAGGATCAATGTTTAAAAAACGAGACTATAGACTTCATTATTACCGCAAAGGACTACAATTGTATAAAATGTCGATACTGCTAGGTAAATTGGTTGCAGTTCTTTTTTTTTTAAATTACACGGCTATGTAATATAATATACAACGCCTTATTTTGTCAGAAATAATTTAAAAAAAAAAATTACTAAGGAAGTAGTTTCATCCAAATAATGACCAGGAAAATGAGGGGAGGCCTGAGCCCAGCAGTGGGACGTATATAGGCTGTAACTATACTTTACTTTAATGATCAGAATTTTCATATCTGTGTCATTAAATTTAAAAAAATATATGAACTTCGTTAAATGTTATTTACACAAAATTTACATTAAATGACTGAATATATAATTATTTACTGTATCAAATTAATGAGACTAAGAAGGACGGATGTGCGAAGAATTATATGGCGAAAATTATGATCATTACCTAAATTATAAATGATTAAATTAGAGTTCACTAAATTAAAAAAAACCGATTGTCATCATTATTTACAATAATGCCATAAAATTATTAAAATATATGAATATATTTTAATAAAGATGACAATAGTTTTTTTTAAGATACATTTTGAAAATAATATATTTTAAATAATATATTGTTTGTTAAATGTAAATGTAATCATTAATATAGCGCACTATTAACATAATAAACTTGTTTTCACCATAAAATAGTACGAGCACATTTGATACCTGGCAATTTCTTTGTTGGGAAAAAAGTTGAATAACGAGGTTAGAGGCAAGGAGGACTATCTCTGTATATGAAAAAGTGTCCTTCGAAATGCGTTAAATTAGAGTGGCGCTATAATTGCGGCGGGGTGAATTTTAAATTAATTATTGTATTTTTAATTTTTAAATTTATAAATTTTTGTTCAAAATTAGAGAACAAAAGTTCATCAAAAACAAATTTATAAAAATAAATTCACAAGTGGCAGTTTATAGATGAAAATACTATTAGCATAAATCATAAAATATTTTGTTGGCATAAAACATATTAGTCATTTATAAAATATAAAATTTTATCTCGGCACACATTAATCAAACTGCAACCATTATATTCGTACCGTACATACCCTGTATCTACGCTAGCGCCATTCTGGATGGTTTTTGAACTGTTGTTTACAGCTTACAGGTGGACACTTTTTGTTCTTGTCCCCCATATGAGATAGATCCTCCTTACCTCTACTCTCCATACCTACTTTTATTATTATTACTTTTTTTTCTTTTCTGATTTTAAGATCCAAAGGGTAAGTATTGGACAATGATCCATATAATAAATACATTTAGTGCTTTTGCTATATCTGGTTATATCTGTGGTCAGTGCAGTGACTTATTTAATCTATCAATAACTCCAGGTTAGTGTAACACTAACTGAGAAGCTAAATATTGCTGTTACAATAAGTAACAATCATTAGAGATTTATGTTAAAAATAATGTACAGCTATTTATATTGCTAACGAAAACACGTCATGTTACGTTGATTTCTTCATCGGAAGCGCTCGCGTCGCTGTCAAAGTCTTCACCGTCTTCCATGTTTGAATAATTTTCGCGGGAATACATCGAGCTGCTGGCCATTTTATCGTCATACCGGTAACTGTCACTCTGACTAGAAGATGCGGCGAACATTTTGCTTTTGTCTTCATTTTGATCCTCGTTTAAAGGCGATAATGGAGACATTTTTGATTTGTCCGCCTCCGCGTCGGATAAATCGGGATGCGGATTGTTCTTATTGGGTAACGTCTGTTCTCTGGAGCCGCCAGATGCGAGCAGTTCCCGTTCTTTAGAGTTACGCCATTTCATGCGCCGATTTTGAAACCAAATTTTGACCTGTGAATAAAGAGAGAGATTAATAAGTCACGCAAAAATTATTTTTATGTAAAGATATTTCCATCTTAGGAATAAATTATTATTGAGGGCTCCGTGGCACGGTGCCTTAGGTTCGAATCCAGCACGAAACAGGTACAAATAATTCATCGCTGACGCCGCAAAGAGAAGGACATCAATTTAAAAAAAATGAAGAGAACAAGAAAACATTAATTAATTATTCTCCGATAACTAGGATTTTTCGCCAGAAAATTAAAAATATTATATTTAATGCAAAACTACGAATACGATTAATTTTCTGATGCAAAAAGCTAGTTATCGGGGAATAATAAATGCTTTCTTGCTCTCCTATATTATTTTAAAAATTGAGGTTCGTCCCTTTGCGGCGTTAGCGACGAATTGAACAGTAATTAAATTAACTGTACAGTTTATGTGTAAACAGCATAAAACGGCCTCCACGACACCGGAAATCATAGAGTACAGTTCTTCATTAATCCTAGTGTAAATGGGGGTGTTTGGCAATGTGCGGTAGAGCAGTACTGCCATCTAACCTACTAGTAACTATCATAAGCAAACGCACCAAATGGCGATTGTGTCACGCTCTGAAGTAGTAATCGTGTCCTGGCCGAAAACGCGCTTATAAGCGCGCTTCACATTTTGGTAGAGGAGTACTGCCGTACTATAACGCACAAATGACCAGCGTGATATAGAAGCATTTTGTTCCTGTGCTTCGTATAGTGAATGACGTGAAGTGCAAACTATTTATGTTTCGTAATCTAAGATAAATATAGGGGGCTATGGGCCTATGGGCCGCAGTATTCAATTACCTATTACCATCAAGTGAACTAAGTACTCGGTTGTTACCCCTACTTTTATTAAAAAATCGCTCAAGCTGGGATTCAAACCTAAAATCCGTAATTCAATAATTTGTTACTCTTACCATTAAAGATTCTTTACGTATAACATAGGGTAATAAACAAATTATAAATCAATGTCGATAAAAAAGCAACTCATAATCGTTAGAATTATCGTCAAAAAGGGCCAAACGCATTAATTTTTTTCTGCCATTGATTTCTCGTTTTTAGCAATTTTTGGGTGAAATCCTAACAATTTTTGGAATAAACCATATCCGCGCATTGTGTTCCTGCCAACAAATTTTATTGATGGTGGGAGGCGTGGCAGAACGCGGGCGTTCCTGTGCCACTGCATGCTATAAAAAATATTTTTTTGTTTTTGCTTTAGACTAACTGCTAAAAATTGAATCGTGACTTTTTAGGGTATAATTTCGTCGCACGTGGTAATGGTATGGTATGGTAATTTATTACCGTGGTAATTTATTATTTACGTATTGTAAATAATAAATTACCACGGTTTACAGATAATCTTTTGCCGTATTTTGCCTTACAGATAATTTAAAAATTGGACCTATTTTTACACATTAACAATAAGTCGAACTTTTTGAATATTTCTACCTGTATTTAAGTTTTTTTTTAGTAATATTAAAGTGACATAGTTCATATACAGGTAAATTGCTACTAAAACCCTTGGCCTCCTTTTTTATAAGAGAAGAAGAAAACGTATGTCACATACGACCACACAGTCTACCTGATGGTAAGTGGATGCTGTGGCCCATAGACATCTACATCTATCCTCGATTACGAATCAAAATGCAGATGCATTTTCACACGACCAAGATGGAATGCCTCGTTTCCAGTAAAAAGGGTCCCCAATTCTCTACACTAACCACACGAAACACAGTAGTATTATACTGCTATTTTATTCTGGTATTCTGTTAGAGCGTAGTCCTTCCCCGGTCGAGTCAACCCTTTCGTGCTACAACTATACTACTAATATAGTTGTAGCACGAAAGGGTTGACAGCATGGCTCTACCACGTATAAATTTCTAGTTTATCACCTGTATTTAAGTTTTTTTAATAAAATTAAAGTAACACACGAATATATAGGTTACATACAGTTGATACTAAAACCCGTGGCCTCCTGCAACTAACTTCAAGCAAAGAAGACTATTGACGCGTTGTCAGCTCTGAGGACTAAGATGGAATGCATCATAACTTGTAATTAGGCTCTCTATACTCCTGCTTGCTGACAGAAATAGTTCAGAAGGTGAACGAATACCTACCATCTGATGGGAGTCTTAATAAACGCATAAAAATAACTCAAAGACGTAAAAAAGGTAACTTAAACGAAAGTTATACAACGATGATTTTATATCGTTATTATTATAGAGCGTTATTTTGCAATAACCAGCCAAATTAGCAAAGAAGGTTCAGAATAAAATAATATTATATAAAATATAAAGGCCAAAAAGATTAATTTAAAAAAATCTCAACAATTCTGTCCTTTTTGTCTTTTAAATTCAAATTCAAAATTCTTTTTAATTCAGGGCAGTTGTAAATGGAATGTCGAAATAAATTATATTAGATTAGTTATACGTTACTCGCAAATGTATAATATACATAAACATTTATGGATGACATACATCTGTTTCGTCAAATTGTTAGCAATTTGCAGAAAAATAGGCGTGATGCTGCGGATGAATGATGAACGTCGCAAACGTCCGCAGATGAACGGTCGAATATGATTAATCGTTCAATATTTCTTTTTACAACTGTCATCACAGTGTTCGTCTTATTGCGTGACGTGATACTTTAATTCGTTTCATTTTTTGTTGGTTACTTGTCATTTTTAGATATATTAAATATATTACTACGAAATGTAATAGCAACTTATTTATAAAAGCTAAAGTTTAGAATACTTACAACTTAATTTATTTATATAACCTTCATATATAAGCAATATAAAAACCATAACAAAATACTGAAACTAAAAACTTAAATTATCATATAGTCCTTCTTCTACCGGTATCCTGCCAAGAACACTGGCTGTGTTTACTCACTGAATGGCTATAATTAGTTTTTGAGCGAACCCAGCCCTCTTATTACTAGTAGCGACGTCCAGTAACGGATATCATTTCTTTAGCACCCCACGGACCCATAGTCTCTACAGTAAATGGCGTAAATAATAATTAACACGTGGTAGAACTACGCTTCAGCTATATTATGGTTGTAGCACGAATGGGTCGGCTCGACCGGGGAAGGACCACTAATGGAAACGAGGCATTTCATCTCAGGCCTCAGGGGTGACAACGCAACGGCGTTTTGATTCTTAATCGAGAATAAGTGTAGATTATCCATTTACAATCAGGTGGACTGTGTCCTCGTTAATCGCCCTTATGCTATAAAATAAATTGAGTGCTGAATTACGACGTGATAAAGATACTCGTAATCTGTATACAGGTTATAGGTACAAAAATTTAAAATCATTTCTAATCACGTAAAGATTTCCTACAATTACGCGAAAAATACACAACACACGCTATTTTGACAGATTTTAACGCGTAAAAATATAACTATTTTTAATTCCCGACGTTTCAAGTGCTTTGCAGCACCTATGGTCACAGGGGCACTGAGGTATAGATACTTTATCACGGTCCTGAACCACCCACATCCATCGACTTCTTGCATGAGTTATCAAGTTGAAACCCTAGCTATTGTGATGGACCATGAGATATACAAAAAACCGCCACCATTTCTTGCTAGTCCCACTACTCCTGACGTCAATAGAAACCATGGTAAGGGCGGGGCTGCTAAGAATTGCTGGTTGAGATTAAGTTGAACCTTTGAAAGTTGGTACATTCCACTTTAAATTCATATTCATATACGTTAACTTGACTCTCCATCACCTTAAAAACGGCCAAGCTCCGGGAGAGGATGGAATTACAGCGGTACTTTTGAAAGCGGTTGTAAAACATTCAACTCCTTCAGAAGCTCTTTGATTTCGTTCTTCACTTACTACGGTGGAGTGGAGCCGAAGTGTGTTGCCCTTGTTATTCAAGAAAGGCGACAACGCTTTCTTGAAGAACTACAGACCGATGCCCCTTCTGAGTCGAACTTTGGGCGATGCAACAATCCTTTTAGCGGTGCTAAGTTGACTGTCAGTATATCGAAGTGCTGAAATGTTTACAATAGGGTTTCGATGGCTATCCGAGTACTGAACCAGAGTACGAAACCTACTTAACAGCAGAGAGGTGTAAGACAGAGTAACGTAATATCCCCGAAACTCTTCACCGCTGCGTTGAAAGACGTTTTCAAGCTACTGGACTGGAAAGGATACGGTATTAACGTCAATGGTGAGTACATCACTCACCTTAGGTTTGCCGACCGTATAGACCTTATGGCAGCATCGTTGGAGGACCTAAGCACTATGTCAATGACCTCAATAGAGTCTCTCCAAGGATAGGTCTTAAGATTAACATGGACAAACAAAAGTCATGTGTAACGTCCATGTCACACCTATGCCGGTAGTTGTTGAGAGTACTAGTTCGACGTTGTGACGAGTTTGTTTACCAGGGACAAATAGTCCGACTAGATAAGTCCAACTTCGACCAAAATGTTAATCGACGGATTCAACTTGGCTGGGCAGCATTCGGGAAATTACCACACATCTTCTCGTTAGGCATATTTCAAAACTTCAAAACAAGATTGTACAACCAGTGGGTGTTGCTGGTGATGACCTATGGATCTGATACGTGGTCCTTCACTGCTAGCTGTATGAGGAGACTCAAAGACACTCAGCGAGCTATGGGCTGTGCTCGGGGTTTCTCTGCGTGATAGACTTAAAAACGAGGATATCCATAGTAGTATCTGAGTAACCGACATAGCTCAGCAGATGAGTAAGTTAAAGTAGCAATGGGCCGGCATATAGCTCAAAGAACCGACAACCCATGGGGAAGGAAGGTTCTCGAATTGCAGCATTGTACCTGTAGAAGAAGTGAAGGGCATTCCCTCACCAGATGAAGTAACGACTTGGCGTGACATGCAGAAAGTCGATGGACGCAGGTAACTCAGAACCATAATTCCTTGGAGGCCAGCGGGGATTTGAGGAACAATGATAAC